GATAAGTGCACTTGCTCTGTCCGCTTTCTTTTCTTCTTTCGCATGCGGGGTTGCCATCGTTTCGTTAGTTCAGCCAGGTTGCCACAATCCTATTGATGTTAAAGTAATAGTAAAGCAAATAAAGCAAATAGAAAGTAGATATTCATATTCATTATTGTAGAAGGGCGTAATTAGAACCCTAATAAAAAAACATACATTCAGAACTTGTCTTTTAACGCTGAAGAAATTCAGCTGCGAGCATGTAGCCTTTTATACTTGCGAGTAGGTACATAGAAAAATGTTGCATGCCAAGGAGAGCGCGCGTTTTTTAGCGCTTTCGCAGTTGTTTAAAATTTGATTACAAGCGTAATTTTGAACTACCCATTCTGAAATTTTTACAGGTTCTACTTAAGTATTTGAAGAAGAGTTTTCAATAAAAAAATTTAAAAAAATCAATACTAAATTTGAAAAAAAACTAAATTTGTTATTATTTTTTTAATATCTAATTTTTTGTATTAAAAAATAATTGTATCGACTTCTCGTAATCCTCATATGAAAGCCAAGAAAAAGTCATAAATGGTACGATGATTAACTTTGTATTTTATTAAAATGCTTATTTGCGCGGAAGCATATATTAAAAAGTCCTTTTTTGGCATGCTTAAAATTCAAAAAAATATATCTCGTAAACGGTATGGGTCAAATGAAAATAAAAAAATACGTGTATCATATTTTAACCCAAAGAATGCAAAGAAAAATAATTTGAGCGGAAAAAAATTTTTAGTGTAAATTTTGCCTGGATTGACCCATATGTATCTTTGTAATTAACAAAACTTAGGAGCTCAGCAAAAATTACTCTTGGCAACAAAATATATCCGTTGTTGTGGATTTAAGCAGTTGCAACTTTTACCCGACATTACTTTTAATAATATTAAAAAAAAAAATAAATAAAAATATTCTAGTAAAATATTTCTAGTAGAAGCACGAAATTCGACCGACATGCTTACGAAGTTGAAAACGCACAGAATCCACCAACAGTTAGGTTTTGAGCTATTCAAATTATCTTAAGACTTATAAACCGCATGAAACTAACGGACAAAATCGAATTATTTTTGAACCAAACAAATTGAAGTTTACAGCTAAGAACATGTATGAAAAAAATTGTTATAAATATGTAAGGTGAATTATACAGTGCCACAAATGTAGGTGTAATGTTATGTAAATGTGCTACCAAATCGTCCACGATAACTTTGGAAATGCAATAAATTCGAAATGTTTCCCATATTTAAACGCATTGCTAGTAAATCTGCATCTTTAAATTTTTAATAGGACGGCAGGATTTCTCCCAAGGACATCGAAAAAATTAATTAATGGAAAAAGCATAGTGGATTTGAAGGGGTGTATTACAAGGCTGCGAAACTATATGTTTTTTAGTCGAATAATTTGTGCATGTCCTGAAAATTTGCAATTTCAGGCCATTTTTTAATTAAATTTTTATGTTTAACTTTTTTAACAAATTCTTTTCCTCCTTTAAAAAAATGCATTTCATAATATTAAATAAACAAAATAAAGTGTTTTAATGTTTGACATGTCCTCTCGGGTGGATTAAAGAATAAATGTGGCAGTATTAATTAGAAAATTTGAAAAGTATCCTTTGAAATTTGTATCCTTTAGTATCCTTATATATATTAATAAGATTTAAATTAAACTAAGATTATTCAAAAGTCATTCAAAATTAGAAATCTTGAAGGATAATATTTTTAAAGGACATTTTGACATGTTCCAGAAGGATAATTGAAAACAAACGTTGTAGTTAATCCGGTTTCGAGCTCTTCTTTCATTTGGTACCCATATCTCCATATTTTTTGTAAACTTTAGGAAATATATTATAATTTATAGTCCTTTGGAAAAAATCCTGACTACCAGGTAAAAAACCATGTAGATTTACTAAATATTATGTCCTAATAAAGTATAGTAATACCATATTATAAAGAAGTAAAATGAGTAAATTAACAAAACACGCGAACTGCAACAAGCTTATTCTGATAACTTTGACTGCAAGTCGGCACGGGTTGCCGTGGTTAGAATTGCATACAAATTTTATTCGGATATCCGGAGCTCCCTGATAAACAAAAATTTTTCAGGTAAAAGTGTCATCGTTTTTGAATTATTTAATTTTTTTGAATTAAAAAAAATCGTGCCTTTTCATGTATTTTCTTAAACTGCATCTACAAACAAGGCTATACTTAGTAAATTTTTTAAGTAAAATACTTTCAGATAGTTTCTTCTCTATACTCAAATGCAATGTAGTTAAAATATATTAAGGACCCATTATAAAATTAGGACTATATTGGGATTTTTAACTTTTTGATATTTTCTTCCCCAAGTTTGAATATCTCTGGTGAAAAAAAAATGTACTGAGCTATAACTTTACATTACATAAAAAAATTGCTCATTTAATAGATATTTCAGAAAGGTGCCACTCTTACTATTTCGAATAGAAAAAAAAGTTATAGCCGCTTATGTGGGTAAAGGACTGAGACACGCTAGAATGTATTTAATAGATTTAAATTAAAGTTGGTCTTGTTACCGACCAATGACATGCTAAATAGTACAAAGGTACATTATTACCTACTCCTGATATTATTTTATGTTACTTACCGGAATTCGGACTAGAGTTTTTTGTGAAGGATGGGTTCACGTGAAATAAAATATACATGAGTTGTTTGAAGAAAAATATATTCATTTATTGATAAAATATGCTCAAATTGGTGACCTTCTACTCTAATACAAACTCGACAACTTTTAAGAAAATACGCTTTTAGAGATCTTAAACTCAATTGGGCTATCTCAGCAGCAGCTCCGTTTATTTGTTTCCGCAAATGCTCTTCTTTTTGAATTGGTTTTGAATAAATTTTGTCTTTAAAACAGCCCCAGTAGAAAAAATGTAATGGATTCAGGTCTGGCGATCGAGCGGGCCCGTATCGTCCAATCCACCGGCGAGGATAAGTTTCATCTAAATGAGCTCTTACTTCACGGCCGTAGTGAGCAGGGCATCCGTCATTTTGCAGCGATAGTCTTCGCCGCTGGTTTAAGGGTACATCTTCTAAAAGAGTTGGAACCCGTTCCTGAAAGAACTCTAAATAACTGTGAGAGTTGAGTGTTGGCGGCAGTTCCACAGGTCCCAATATCTAACAATTAAAAAAACCGCACCATAAATTTATTTTGTGCCGGTACTGCGAACGATCTTCTCTCATTTCGTGGAGATTGCCAACTGTGAAGGTTATGTAAATTAAAATAACCATCACGTTTGCATGATGATTCATCGCTCCAAATTATTTTATTAAAAAAGTTGGGGTCTGATTCATGCATTCGCAACATTTCACTGCAAAATCTAACCCTCGACAGGTAATCTCTCTTGTAGAGCCTGAACACGTTGAATGTGGTAGGGATGGTATTTTAAAGCTTTGTGAAGTGTAGTTTTTGGTATTCCAGTCCGTCTTTCCATCATTCTTCCTGAAGTCGATGGACCTAGTTCCACTTTCTCTAACACAACGTTAACATCTACCGCTGCAGGACGTCCTGTCTCGCCGCCACGCCTTCCAGTTATGCGACCTTAAAAAAGTTAAAAATGATAGTTAAAAGAAGATTGGCTTCAAACAAGAAAGGTGTAAAAATTACTTACCTTCAGATATTTCTCTATGGGTGCGGGCGAATACTTCACGACCCAGATGCCGACGATTGGGCTATCGCTCTGCATAGAGTCTTTGAGCATCTCTGGCATTACAGCAAGCTTCACCGTAAATTAGGTGAATATCCGCATATTCATGCGACGTATACTGCGTGTTGTATTAATAACACAATGTTCGAAGGGTCCAATTTCACAAAATCCACTTTCATTATTTCCGGTAAGTAACACAAAATAATGTCAGGAGCAAGTAATAATGTACCTTTGTACTATTTAGCATGTCATTGGTCGGTAACAAGACCAACGTAAATTTAAATCTATTAATACATTCTAGCGTGTCTCAGTCCTTTACCCACAAAAGCGGCTATAACTTTTTCTATTCGAAATAGTAAGAGTGTCACCTTTCTGAAATATTTATTAAATGAGAAATTTTTTTATTTAATGTAAAGTTATAGCTCAGTACATTTTTTTCACCAGAGATAGTCAAAGTTGGGGAAGAAAATATCAAAAAGTTAAAAATCCCTATATAGTCCTAATTGTATAATGGTTCCTTAATATATTTCAACTACATTGCATTTGAGTATGGAGAAACAACTATCTGAAAGTATTTTACATAAAAAATTTACTAAGTATAGCCTTGTTTGTAGATGCAGTTAAAGAAAATACGTGAAAAGGCACGAGTTTTTTTTAATTTAAAAAAATTTAAATATTTCAAAAACGGTAACACTTTTACCTGAAAAATGTTTGCTTATCAGGGAGCTCACCACCCCACTTGCCTTCTCCTCAAGTTTGGCAGGTTACTTCTGGGACACCCTGTATACATACATATGTATGTATGTATGTATGTATAAATATATGTGCAATGTGCTGATATTCAAGGTATGTTTGTAGGTGCATATGTATATATGCTTTTTGACTTAAGCAAGCCATATACGTTTGCGACCGTTGGTTTAACTTGATCATGTGCTACAGATTGCAACGTTTGTGGGCACGTTGAATGAGGTATGTCTTGGTTGTAGGAAAAATCAAAAAAAGTGATTTCCTGACAAGTTGTTTAACTCGTCGCAACCTTAATAAGCATGTAGTACAACGTCATTGGCAAATGGATAACTCAGCCGAAATGCGTGTTTTGTTGAATTTTATAAATGTATACCAAAACCATGAAAGTGTAAAAATGAGATTGTACAATGAAATTGCCGCAATGTTGTAACGTTTGTGGGCAAAACTTCCAACTTGATTACGAATCGAGTTGAACCAACGGTCGCAACGTTTTTGGCTTGCATTCGCATCTTACTAAATTATATAGTAATTGAGCTACAGCGGTTATATTTTCTAGATACATGCTACGCGATTTCGCAAACCAGATCAACATGAATATTTCAAAAATGCCTGCCGAGACACCTACATCGGATTTAGGCTTCGGCGACAAGGTGAGTGCAGAAAGAATTAGTTTTTGTTATGAATTAAGAAATGCATATCGCTAATTTGCTGGAAGAATCTTATAATCCAAAGAATTTATTTTGAGTTAAGTGTATAAAAAATTGCATAATTATACATATCTACTGCAAAATTCAAAATTTACTGTAAAAGTGTCACTTTAAAAAATTTCATACATTGCATTCATGTCAATGCCATGGCATTCCATCGCAAACATAATAGGGGTATTCTCGAAGCCTTGCAAAGCCGTTACACACAACAACAAAATACATGGGAAACAGCATTTCCTATCGCTGCAAAGTATGCGACGTCTGGACCCTTGCATATATTTTGCAACAGGCATAGCAAAATAAATGCGACTCTGTGCTAGCTGTTTTGTCGTTGGAATTGCTATATATTTCTCTCATACCTCTCATCTCGCTCACTTAATTTTTTTTATCTTGTTATTGTATTTGATACAGAATTTTGTTGCTTGCTACCAGGGTGTCCAGAGTGTTTTTAAAAAAAAGCGCAATTTCTGAAAAAAATCGCCAAAAATCGCAATTTTTTTTTAAAATTCATGAAATCGATTTTACAAGTCTTTTATTTAAAAAATGAGCTCTTGTTATAATATAGTTTTTAAAACCAAAAACGAATATAACGCCTTCAGAGGGTAATAATAAATAACACAAATCACTTTTATAATAGTGATGTACAAAAAATTTTCTTTAAAAATACGCATACTTTTTAAAAATATTTGTTTCAACACATTTTGCAATAGGAGTGCGCAATTATTAAATTTATTATAACTCATATTAATTGATTATTCGCAGAATGCGCTTTTAAGAGCTCGGCGCTAACGATTAAATAAAAACCTATAATAAGGCGAGATCAGATATTTCCACAATTTCTTCAAAATCACCTGTAGTGTCTAATGATTTAAATTTCTGGTGTTGTCATATATTGAGCTATTCAACCTTGATAACATACTGTTTGATATTGGAAACGTTTTGCAGCAGAAACTATTAGCCTTCATATAACACATTATTCGAACTATTGAATTAAGGCTTTCCTACCTCATCCTATTTCGAATCTTAGATTTTGTTGAATTCATTACGGAAAAAACGCGCTCAACAAAGCATGTGAGTGCGGCAAGGATAATAATATGAATTTACTTATATTTGCAAACATTTTATTGCCTGTTGCGGTTTTCACTCCGTAAGCAATTATCCAAAATTCTTCAGAGTCGGATAAAATGGTTCTGAGAAAAGTTATTCCATGGGAAAGTTAAAAGATTTAAATATTCAGTTTCCGCTGCTTTTCTTTCCTTCAAAGTCAAATAGTGAATTGGCAGGTCTTTGAAACTCGCCCTTGTGATTCACACACTTTTCTGGGACGAAATCAAAGCTTTTTTAAAAGTACTTAATTGACTAGGTAATCGTTTCAAAGTTCTTCGCTTAGGGTGATTAAATATTTTTGGCAGTGTTTTAATATGCTTCTTAAGTCAAGTTTATCACGCTGTTCATTAGCCTCTTCTGTAAAATTATCGTGGAAAACTAAGTTTTGTATATTTTTATAATTGGAAAAAATTGATTCGAAGGGAAAAAATTGCCAAAAATCGCCAATGGCGCTTTGCTAAATTTTTACGCGCAAATATAAAACAAAAATCGCCAAATTGGCGCGAAATCGACAAATCTGGACACTTTGCTTGCTACCTATGTATGCTACCACTTTGCAGTAGGGTGCTCTCGTACTGTTTAGGCCCATACCTTGCGTAAATATTGGTCCTTCTCAGCCGAGAAATTGACCTCCGAGTACTCCACAGCGCCAGAAATACAGTCCACACGCACCACTGCCGCTTGATCGCCACATTATCCAAAATTTGCAACAGGATAATCTGCCAGTTGAAGGCTTTTTTATTATTGATACACCATAAAAGGACCACAGGATACACTGCCACTTGATCGCTATATTTGACACAGCAGAAACAGTTCCAGCAGCTACATTTGCCACAGCAGCTACAGTTCCAGCAACTTATTTTGTCACAAAAGCAGCACTTCCATTTACAAAGGTACGTGGTTTTGATTTCACACCTCAGTGCACTTTCAAACATTATTTATAAAATCGAGTGTCAAACAAAAATGTCGCGGGTGAAGTTGTGAGGAAAAAGGGTAAAAAAAGCTTTAATTTGCCTTTGAACTTTATAAAAATAATTTTTTTGCAAACCGTTCGTTTTGTTTTTGTTTTCCACATTCGCTATTAAGATACAGCGAAGATACCGCCATTTTGAAGTGAACAGGTGTTGTTGTTGCAAAGTGATTTATTTAAAGCGAAGCACTTGCTTAATACAAGTTTTTTTTGCGGTGCACGATTTTAAGTTCATATCACTTTTCACTTTGATTTTGGTATTTTATTATAACTCCTTTCGTGTCACTGATCTATAAGATTTTTTTTCCAGCCTTGTGCTAGTAAGATTTCACTTGGGACGTAGTGGTTGGGGTAAAGTTACTTGTTTTAATCAAAGCACTTGTTTAATAAAAGTTTTTCTCGGTGCACATTTTTAGTTCGTATCATCTCACTTTCGGGTTGATATTTTTTGTTTTTTTCCGGTCACTGGTTTAATAACTTTTCTCAGCTTTGTGCTATAAAATTTCACTTGGTACGTTGTTGTTGAGGTTAAGTAAACCCTTTTAATATAGGTACTTATACAGCAGATTTTGCAGCGTACAATTTTAAATTCTTATCATTTTCACCTGTTGACTTTGTTATTTTAATTATAATTCCACCTTAGTGTCACTGGTTACAGATTGGGTTAGTTAGTGCCTTAAACACTTCACTTCACTTTTTTAGGGTATCAAATATTTGATTGTGCATGTAAACATACATACACACATAATATATTGTATTGTGGAGAAGGACGGGTTCTTTTTTCCCTCTTTTTGTTCACAACATTCACTTTCGCGACAAAATTCACTTCTGGCAGACGCGAACGATTGCAATATTGTATACACTACATATATATATAAAGAGTTGGGTGGCAAGTAATTTACCATACGGAAATACATACATATATATAACTCGTCTTTGCTGAAAGAAAAAAAAAAAAATTTTAATAATTACGTCGTTAAAAGAAAACGAAATCCTCGACTTTTCAATTAATCTGGTGTGGTTTTTTTTATTCTGGTGTGGCTATTCAGGTGTCGATATTTTTCACGTCGATTTCAATTCTAATTAAATAAATTAAATCTGCGATCAGATTTATTCGCAATTTTCTATGAAAAAAAAAAAAAAAAAATCTTTCTTTGTTCAAATTTAACGAACCTTAACAGGAAAAATGGATGCTTTTATTCGTCAGGCAGATGCAGTAGCAGAGTTCGAATCTGACTACAATTCCATGCAGCCATCAGAACACTCAAAGCACTCCTTAGCTTTTCAAAAAGAGGAATTGAAGGCTCTATGGGAAAAGGTGAAGGGGTCCTATGATGAACTCTGCGCTTCAAAAGAGCTCGATAGTAAAGACCTGACTTCAATAAAAAAGAAATACAAAAGCACATACTTCAGTTTTTTGCGGTGCCAAGCAGCAATGGCTGAACTTTTAGAGCAAACACTTTTTGCAAAGACTGAAAAAGAAAGTGAGTATATGTCTAGTCGCGAGCTCAATATTCATCTGCCTCCGTGTGACACGGATATATTTAAAGGGGATTACCTTTCATGGCCATCATTTAGGGATATGTTTACGGCCATATATATCCTTAATAAGCGCCTTACCCCTGTTGAGAAGCTGTACCATCTCAGGCAAAAAACGCAAGGGGAGGCCAAAGAAATTGTACAAAGATGTCAGTTGACCAATGATGGTTTTCAAACCGCATGGAAAAATCTATGCGACAGATACGAAAACAAACGGATCCTAGTCAATAGTCAATTGAGGATTTTATTTAATTTGAAAGCAGTTGAGAGTGAATGCGGTAGCTCCATTAAGAAGCTGCAACGTGATATCAACAACTGCATCTCGGCGCTTCAATGTCACCAGATTGACGTTTCCAGCTGGGATGCGATATTCACGTATCTGTGCTCCACAAAACTGCCAGAACATATACTGGCACTATGGGAGCAAACCATAGAGAAAAGAACGGAAGTATCAAAGTGGGAGGACATGGATAATTTCTTATCAAGTAGGTTTCAGACCCTGGAGACAGTAAAAGGCATTAGGGAGAGCAAGCCAAATAAAGCCCCTAAGCCACAAAACATACATCAGTCTTCAGAATGGACTCCAAAAAGGCTTGGCGCCTTCCAAGCCAGCGTGGAAAAACCCACATGCAAAATGTGCCATAGCCATGAGCACAGGCTAAAAAGGTGTGACAAATTTCACAATCTTACTCCACTAAAGCGACTCGAATTTATTAAGAGCATCCACAGTTGCTTGAATTGCTTGTCAGCCGGACATACAGTCACGAAATGTACCAGTCCGTTTAATTGCAGTACGTGTCATTCAAGACATCACACGTTGCTGCATATGCAAGCAACTCAGCCAAAAGCAACAGCTCTTAGTGCACCTACAAGTCCGTCCTACGATATAGCCTCTACTTCTGAGCAAGCAAAAAGGCGGGAAGCTGCGAAAAAGAATAAAACAGTTAATAAAGTTAATTCATGTCATGCAAACTCAAATAAAGGAGTACTATTAGGAACGGCATGGGTCAACATTCATCATAATGGTGTAAATTATTCAGCGAGAGCGCTCATTGATTCTGGTTCTGAGTGTTCTTTCATAACCGAAAGACTCAAACGAAGAATCAACCTGCCATCGAAACCCTTGCATGCCCAAGTTTCGGGCATCAATAATTCAATATCTGCGCAGGTAAAAGAAGCGTGTGCTATTCATTTGCGATCTCCTACGGATCCGTTAATCAATATAAACACGACCGTATTAGTTTTGCAACAATTGACAGGGGATTTGCCGACTTGCCAAGTAAGCGCAATGACGCGGCAAGCATTCCCAGACTTGATGTTGGCGGACAAGAGATTCTTCGTCAACGAGCCCGTTGACCTCGTCTTAGGCGGAGACGTCTACCCCCAAATCATTTTAGGCGGGTTAAAGAAGAACATCCTAAATACACTTCTCGCACAAGAAACCGTGTTCGGTTGGATAGTGACCGGTAAAGCGGAATCATCGAATACAACCAATAAAAGAGTATCATTTTTTAATGAAGTTACTGTGGATAAACAGTTAACGGCCTTCTGGGAGCTAGAAGATATCCCCAAGAAAAGAAGTATGAATGCCGATGACATATATTTTGAAAGGCTTTTCAAAGCAACGACAAAGCGAAATGATGGTGGGAAGTACATTGTCTCCTTACCCTTCAGGCAAGATTTTCCAAATAATGTTTGTCTAGGACCATCACTAAAAAGCGCTTGCTCTCAGTTCTACCGGAGCGAGACGCGATTAGCAAAAAAACCTGTTCTTCAAAGAGAGTACAACCGGGTTTTATGTGAATATGAAACATTGGGCCACATGTCAAAGATTTCAACTACCGTATCACCAGAGTCAACCGACTGTTATTTCCTACCACATCATGCTGTGTTAAAAGAGGAGAGTACCACAACAAAGGTCAGAGTGGTATTTAATGCATCATGCCCAACCGCCAACGGTATGAGTTTAAATGACGTCCTCCTTCCAGGTCCTGTACTTCAGGCCGATTTAACTATCCTCATACTCCGTTGGAGACTGTTCCAATACGTCTTCAACAGCGATATAGAGAAAATGTATCGGCAAATATACGTAAACGAGAATCAAACGAAATATCAGCGCGTAGTTTTTCGCACCTGCCCAAGAGACCCAATTAGCCTATACGAATTAAAAACGGTGACTTTTGGCATCAACTGTGCTCCTTATCT